GTTCAGGCGGCGGCAGCACCACCACCTCCAAAGGAATCACCCAGAGAGATTACTGAGATTGAAGAAGATCGTATAATTCTGAGACCTATTGGACCAGGTGTCCAAACTCTTGAACCTGATAATATGTCTACGTTAGGTCGACCTACAACCCCTGCCTTTCCTGTCAGCCCTGCATCTAGCGTTGGTAAGTTATTTCCATTTTTTTTTTTTAATTCAATTTTTCTTTAATTTAGTGTATTGTGCTTGCATGGAAGTCACTTCTGAATGTTTCTTTCTGTACTTGAAGTATCTATGTATGTGATATATGTATAAAAGCTGGCCATTTGAATTTTCTGAGTTTTCCTTTTGTTTGCTTTTTTCTTTAAGTTGCTGAAAAAAATGCTAACAAAATTTAAGAAGATGCAATAAAGTGTTTAGACTGTTAAGTATTCATATTTAACATTTTCTTCTTTCATATGTGTTATTAAGTAAGTTTAAGGTTTACGAGTGATGTATACAAAGTGGTTCAGAAAAGAAGTTCTATGCCCAGTCAAGAAGGAAATCCCCTAAATTCTGATGTGTGATCATTTGCTCAGATTTTAGGAAGTGGGTTAGTTTGAGAACTTTTCAGGACCCCAAAATATTTAACTCTCAAAAATCCTCATTTTTAACTTCTAAAAATTTAACATTGCTTGAAAGGCTTTGGAGAAAGAAGTATAAAAATTGATACTCATATAAATACTTCTATAACAGTACTATTTTCATGTACATACATATATATATATATATATATATATATATATATATATATATATATATATATATATATATATATATAAAAATATTTTTTATTGATTGTTTATCATTTTTACCAGGAGCGAAATAATATAACTTTTAAAATGTATTTATTCACTTTTTCATAATCTTCTATCAATTTCTTTATATTATAAAAATGTTAAAATCAAGGCTTAAGTATTCAGCAAAAAATAAGTTTCTTCTCATTCTAATGCATATTTTTATATTGATATTAAAATGAAAAATATGTCAACTGTCTTTCTTGCTTATGTCATGATGACATTTAAGTATAACAAAACTGGTTTTAATGTACTTTTGGTTGATTCATTAACTGAAAGTAATAATTATGAATTTTTTTCCATGATGAATATTATTACAAATAGTAAAATATACTAATAAAAATAGACAATTTCTATGTGTCTATTTTAGTATTTATATATGAAGCATTATTTAACTTGAGCTTATTCCAACATGTGGCTGTCTCTTTAAAATATCCTGTCTGAATCAATGTTCCCTTACAATGATTTACTTAATCAACATGTTTTGTTGAAAATATAAATAGACTCTTTATAAAATATGATATTTTGTCAGATGGTTTCATTCAAGTAAATAACAGAGAATAATTAAATTCATAAAAAAAAAATAATAGTTCACTTAGGAGTTGGTTACAATTGATATTCTTATAAAAACCTTATCAAACCATTTCAAATCATAAAGACATTAATATCTGATTAACAAACAAAAAATATTCTTGATATTTATTCAGATTATTTTCATATATATTTACTTTTCTCTCAAAAGAAATCATTTTATTTCTTTAATATACATGCATTTCTATGCCTGTTCTTAGGAAGATTTTTTATTTTCTATTTTAATGCCGTGACCCTTCAAAACAGAGGAGATTATGGCTCTTCACATCTTCCTTTTCCTTATTAACTGTGAATAGTCATAACTTCTTGAGAAAGATAGTGGAGTGACTTTCCATTGCTTTCTCCTCAGTTTGGACTTTAAAGTATCATCTCTTAGACTGGCTGCTAACCAAAACTAAAGAGCTCCGTCTATCCAACTATTTAACCCTTTGCTGGGAGGAAAAGAGATGAACTCATGCCATTTCCAAGGGCTTTGGTGCAAAAGCAAATACAGCAAACTAGGCTGGAATTTGAACTTTGCTCACAAATTACACAATCCATTCCAGCAGCCACCACCTTTTGGAAAAGATGGCAGTGTTTTTTCCATTGCTTTCTTCAGAGTTTTAAATTCAGAGTTATCCTCTTAGACTAGCAATCCTACCAAGGCTAGAGATAGCAATCTGCTCTGTTATTTTACCAATAGCTAGATTGAAAGAGAAATTGATGCATTAATACAAAGTAACTGCAACAGCTTTGTTCAGAATTTAGACGTGGATTGTTAATTTCTTTTACTCTGTTGATAATTCTCCCACCAACTGCATATCCTGTTTGTTAGTTTGTCTGTTATATCGCAGTAATTGTTAATATAAACTTATACACTTAAGTATTTTTCTTTTTCTTAAAAAAATAGAATTAAAGAAAAAAAAATTTTTTTTTTTTTTCCAATTTTTACTTATGCATGTTTGTTTTATATTCATGCTAGATTTATTCAAATTCTTTTCGTGAAAAACTGATTTCTCCCCTTGGTGTTTGTTGCCTCTTGTGTGGTTTGATTCTTTCTAAGTTACTTTGTAATGCCTTCTGCATGTGTAGATTTTAGAGTTTTGTTTATTTGATGTGCATATTTCCTTTATTGTAGCCATGACCCCACCTTTCCCGGTGTCTCCAGGTACACCCTACGTGAATCCAAGCACCCCTTATCACATGTCTCCTGTTAATTCTTATATGATTCATGGTCAACCAGGTAAATCATCTCAGTTTCCTGTCCTTTGCACACACATATCTTACCTGGTGCATTTCTCTGTCAGAGGAACTACATTTTTCCTCTTCTTCCCGCATTCCTTCATTTGCATTTTCTACCTTTTTATCTATTGGGATGAACTTCTTTGCTTATGCATTTTACCTACCTTTTTTTCTGCTTTGCTAATTTATTTCTTGGGATATCTACAGCTTACCATTTTTTTTTTTCTTTTTCCAAATATCAATTACAAATCTCGCTTTACTTGTAATTTCTTTCCTGCATTTAAGATAAAATTATTAATTATGAAACTTTTTTTTTCAGCTTTTTATATGAAAATTTTTATGCCTAAAATTTTATTCTTTTGATAGAGATTAGTGTTAGACATAATTAATGGTTCATGGCCTTACTGATTTTTTTTAATGTCTTTTCTCAGTTTTAGAAATGGTACTATTATTAATAGCTTTACAGATTACCAAATGGTTTGGTGGATCTAAATATTAGATAAGAATTTTTAGATGAATTATATCAAAACCTTTAAACACTAAAATCTTTTATTATACATCTTCTGTGAAATTTTAAGGGACATCTTGACTCTTATCTAAAATAAATTATTGCATAAATAGTCTTTTCTATTCACCCCAGCTGCAGCCATCAATGGAATTTTGTCAGAGAGGGTTGTGCAACTGTAAAATTCATAGCATGAATTTTATCAAGAGTACCACTATCCTGTTCCAAACATTATCTTTGACTTTGATTTAAAAACAAAAGAAAAACTTTTAATAGTAAAATTGAAATCTATTGTAAATATTTTAAAAAGGGCTGCAAAATTTAATGGTTATAATCACAACAAACAATAAAATTGGTTGCAATAACAACAGGAAAGAATGAAGAATGTTTAGAGTTACTATAAAGAGGTATATCAGAAAGGAAGGGGGCAATAAAAAAACATTGTAAATTTGCAGTAAGAATAACAATATTTGAACTTGGTACAATAAAGAGATTAAATTCTTTGATTTAAATAAAATCTGGTGCAAATGACATTCATGCATTAAGACAATAAGATTCTCAATTGTATCCCAGATTGTTGGAATGAACAAAATGAATGAAAATAAGACAAGTGTATTTTTAAAACATAATAAAATAACTTTCATTCATTTATTGCCTAAGAACAGCAAGGATTTTTTTGATTTAAACCATAAGTTCCATGTGCATGTCAGCTTATCACCATATTGGTATCAGAAGTGCCGTGTTCCCACTAGTGGGCAAGGGGCATAACTCCGTTGTATTTTGAGTTATCTTCCTTTATAGGGGTAAGTAAGTAACACTCCTAAAACCTCCCTTTTTTAGTTTTGTGCTCTTATGACTTTTGTTGAGGGTTTAATTGCAGTAGGTATGGCTTAGTGTCGTAGTCAATGGGATTTCCTTGGTGCACTTTTTGCTGGAGTCCTATCTTTGTCTCTTGGCATTACTTGGGAACTTTGTTGAGACAGTTCAAAGGTGTCCACTAGAATGTAGAATGTCCACCAGTAAAATGAAGTTTAATTTGGTCTCTGGAAGATTTGATGATCATAATTGGTTTGCATGTTGAATCCAGACTAAAGACTATATATCCACGTAACATTTCCAGAGCAATGTATAATGTGTCCTTGGATTCATTTTTTTGTTACTGTTGTGGTAATCTTTTTCAAGTACAAAATGTCCTGGAATATATTTGTCTTTTCACTGCTCCATGATGACAGTTAAATTGTTCTTTCACCAACATGTTTCTTTTTAAGGAATGGTTTCTAATTAGATGGATGATATCTATGTGTAAATAAACTTTATGGTTCATCTGTGCTTCTGCTGTTGAATTTTCATCAGGTGTGTTTGGATTGGGTGTAGCTCCGTAACTTCCGAGGAAGATTTCTAATATGTTTTGTGTGGTTCCCTCAACTTCGAGTTTGAGTAATGCTCTCTTAAATGTATCTACAAAATGCTCCACTTGTCCATTTGATTGTGGATGAAAAGATGGTTTCCTAATGTGTTCAATACCATTCTGTGCACAGAAAGTTGAAAATGCAGCTGAAGTGAAGGCAATGCCATTATCAGATTCTAGAGGTTGAAGATTTGTTTTAACTTTTAGAATTGTTTCATCTGAGGCGATGTGATTCATCTAAAAAAAATTTGGACCATTTGCTGTAAGCATTAACAAAGATAAAATAATAGTGTTCCTTGATAGGTCTAGCAAAGTCATTGTAAAGGTGTGACTAGGGTGATTAAGAGATAGGCCAGGAAATGAGTGTAGTTTTCCTCGGAAATTTTGCTGCCAGTTGACAATTGTATACCAATTCTTCCAACTGCTTGTCTATGTTTGACCAATAAACATAGCTGCAATTTCCTCAAATACTGTTAATTAGGGTATAAGTAAATGTAATTATTTCATGACAATCATTGTACCTGTTTGTACCTAATTTATATTTATTTTGAAAATTTACGCAAAAATAATTATAATATTGTGATTGAACTTAAAAGGAAAATATTTCAAAATATTTTTGTTAGTTTATATCTACCAAAGATACATAGTTTTTTTTTAATTTCCTGTTGAGAATAATATAAACATTTACTAAACTTAAACTGCATTTTTGAATTTGTTTTGTTCTCTTCCAAAGAATCTGGGCATAGCAAAATATATCGGAAACTGAGGTCCACATTTATATTTCCAAAACAGGCAAAGCTCAAAAAAAAACTATAGTAAAACAGGTTTATGAAAAGCTTTCAAATTTATATCAGTATGTTCATTAAAATACCAAATAATGTCCATACTACTATATGATGGATATATAAAAGTGTATGCGTATATGTCTATATGAATTTGTCTGTGTGTATAAGATACCAAGTAGTTCCAAACCATGATTATCTATATGCTTAGATGTAATATAGATACTGCAGATTTTGCAACTACATAAATGTAGTGGTTGTTACTAAGCAAAAAAATAGTATTTCAAATGAGGTAAGTTTGCCTGTTTTGAAAATCAGCTTTTAAAATGTTGGATTTTACCTGGTATTGAACTCTGATTATGTTTGTCTAAGCTAGATACACAATAATCCTGTATCACATACAAACCTTGTAATATTGTTTATTTCTGGATAAAGCCAAGAAATAGTGCTGAGCTGTAAGAAAAAAAATTACAACATTCCAGTTAATGTTAATGCTTACAGCAAATGGCCAGAGTTAAAAGCCTAACTAATATCTTTTTTTTTTCTTTTTTTTTTTTTTTGTCTGTTTTGAGGCTTTTTTTTTTTTTTTTCTTCATAAAATATTTTGGAAACCCTCAGATTATACAATTGCCATTAGAAAATATTTAGCAAATTTTATCTTTAAAAATATTTACAATTATGTATTCTTTGCATAAATAAGAGAAAGTTACCAGGGATGAAAGCCCAGGGCCTGGGACTTCTCACTCCTTTGGAGGAACCCTTTCATAATTGACCATATCTTCAGAGGTGTAGCCATACTCTCTACATTTGGCCAATCATTGATTGGTGAGGCTATTTAACCCATAGTTGAAGATTTTTAATTCAGAATTGTCTTTCTCCTAAACCAGTTATCACACAAGGCTATAAAACGCCATCTGTCCTACTATTTACCACACAAGGCTATAGAATGCCGTCTGTCCTACTATATATCTGTAGCTGGGGGAGAGAAGAGATGGATTAATAACTTTTCCAAGGATATTTGCATGTAAACAAATAACTGGAATTCGAACTTTGCTTGCTGGTTCTTCAATCCAAGCCACTATACATAACCTCAATAAATATCAAAAAAAAATTTTCTTTGCTGGAATAAACAAAAACAAAAAGTAGAAAGTTCTGGTTGACTTACTTTTTTTTTTATAAACACCCACTTGGATAACTCGTTTGCCAACTCACATCATCACCACTTGTAAACAAGATTTTCCTCCTCCTCAGGTAGTACATACAGAGATAAATATCTTTATGGTAGATAAGGATACACTCACATGTGTTAGATTAACACAGAAAAAGAAGTTTAACCTTTCAGTTTATAGCAGCACGTAAAGTCAGAAGAAAGTATTTTATTTGTTCCTTTTCATGTCTTATGTTTTGACTGTTTTATTTGTTTGTACAGCCAAGAAATAAATTTTCCAAAACAGTTTAAAAGTTTATTCACTGTACTTTTGTCATTAAGTAATTTGTTTGAGATTAAGTAACTTCCATCCTTATCATTGGATTACTTTTTCTTTGACCCATTAACGTCCCGTCCTGGGTGTGACGATAAACAAAATAAACCAAACCAAACCCATAAATGCCCACTCTCCCTTTTATGGGATAGAGGGAGTTAATAGATTATAGCTAGAAATCTAAATTAATACCTTTTTTTTTTCTTTTTCTTTTTTTAAGAAACTTATATTTAATATCAGTTTTATTTTATAATTAATACCAGGTTTTATGGTGGGCAATATACAAATGGCTATTGCTTGATATATATTAATTAGAAAGATAATTAAAATGACTTATGAAGTAAAGAGTTTGAACCTTACTCATATGCAAAGAGTATGTAGACATGTTTATTAGTTTATAAGAGTTGGTAAAAGAATTTTCTTCTTTGAAATATTTACTATCAACAATAAAGGAAAGGATGTTTGAAGTCTCTTAGAGTAATAAAAACTATTTCTTGCCATTGTGCCTTTCTAATTTCATGTGCATTTTTCTCCATTAGAGAATAGATGATTTTCTTTATAAAGGTTGATCACATTGTTCCTCTATAATGATAAAAAGTAAATGAAATGTATTCAAGTATATGCTGATATTATTTTGGGACATTGATGAAATATGTAAAAACTTAAATACACTATCATAAATACAAGATGTAAAATAGTTTTATGTACAAGTAAGACATACCTCTGTTAAAAAGCAATTTGAATGTTTAATAGGATTATGCTTGTCATAGGCATTCTTGGCTTTCTCAAGTTTTGTAGCAACATTAAAGTAGACAAAAACAAAGATAGGAAAAGTAAGAGAAAATAGAACAAGAAAATAAATGGTGATAAAGTGAATCAGTGCACAGTGAAAGTGTATATATTCTCACTGTTAATCTAATCTGTATTAGTAGGTTCTTGAATCAAGTTGCCAAAAAATAACAACTCAACCCCTTTCTTTCAAGAGTAAGTTAGTGACACTATTAAAAATGAGTACTGTAAAAGGAAAGAAGGCATATTTTTCTCAATATCTCTAAAATGAAAGTGATAAAGACCCAGATCTGAACT